GAGCCATATTTTTCTATTTTTAGTAGAGATGGGGTCTTGCTCTTGCTCAGGCTAGTCTCAAACTCCTGAGCTCAAACTATTTTCCGACCTCCACCTCCCAGAGTGCGAGGATTATAGGCCTGAGCCATGGAGCCCAGTCCCTGCTTTCAATCCTTTTGAGTATATACCCACAGAAGGAGAATTTCTGGACATTATAATAATGTTAAATTTTTTGGGGGGGGGGAAGTGTTATACTTTGTTGTTGTTGTTGCAGTTTGGCTGGGCCAGTTTTGAACCTGCCACCCTCAGTACACGGGGCCAGTGCCCTACTGAGCCACCGGTGCCGCCCTGCCATACTGTTTTTAATAGCAGTTTCATCATTTTCAATTCCTATCAACAGTGCACAAAGGTACTAATATTTCCACATCCTAGTAAACACCTGCTATTTATTGAATAATGGCCTTCATAATGAATGTGAACTGGTATTTCATTTAGGTTTTCATTTGCATTACCCTAATGATTAGTGATGTTGAGAAGCTTTTCTCTTTTTTTGTTTGTTTCTTTCTTTAAGAGACAGAGTCTCACTTTATTGTCCTCGGTAGAATGCTGTGGCATCACAGCTCACAGCAACCTCCAACTTCTGGGCTTGGGTGATTCTCTTCCCTCAGCCTCCTCAGTAACTGGGACTACAGGCGTCCACCACAACACCAGGCTATTTTTTTTGTTGCAGTTTAGCTGGGGCTGGGTTTCAACCCACCACCTTTTTTGGTATATGGGGCTGGCGCCCTACCCACTGAGACATAGGCACTGCCCACTGAGAATCTTTTCTGTTCTTTTTTTTAAGAGACAGAGTCTCTCTTTGTCACCCTCGGTAGAGTACCATGGCATCACAGCTCATAGCAACCTCCAACTCCTGGGCTTAGGCAATTCTTTTGTCTCAGCCTCCCAAGTAGCTAGGACTACAGGAGCCTGCCACAACATCTGGCTATTTTTTGTTTGCAGTTTGGCTGGGGCTGGGTTTGAACCCACCACACTCGGTATATGGGGCCAGTGCCCTGCCCACTGAGCCACAGGCACCGCCCACCAATTGAGAATCTTTTCATGGCTCGGTGCCTGTGGCTCAAGTGGCTAAGGCGCCAGCCACATACACCTAAAGTGGAGGGTTCGAATCCAGCCCAGACCCACAAACAACAATCATGGCTGCAACCAAAAAAATAGCCAACCAAAAAAAAAGAAAATCTTTTCATGTGCTACTTGGCCATTTACATATTTTCTTTTTTTTTTT